AAAGAAAGAAGATCTAATATTAAATCATAGGGTGTAGACAAACTGTCCTTGAATTAGATTCATGTTAAGTACAAAACTCTAGCTAAAGACAATGGCATGCAAAAGTCATAGTGAGAAAAGCTAACCAGCGATGGATGAGAGCTTTAATTAGGGAAGCATTTCAGAAAGGCATCAGTGCTGACAAACATTTAATCTTAGAAACAGAGTCCTAAACAGATTTTGTTTATGTGGAACATATGTCAGTATTTACCATAATTTACCATATTAGAAATAATTAGAAAAAATTTTTAGAAGTCAGTTTTAAAATACAATAATCCTATTACATGTAAACATAGTTTTGTTAAAAAATATCTTCAAATAAAAAAATTAGTGAGTGTCACTGATGGACATTTTTTATAAATCTCTTCAGCGTCTAACTTAACTGACTCCCAAATTCTCGTATCTGTTTCTTTCTTCTGAGACAGGATCTCACTCTTAGCCCAGGCTGATCTTCAACTTATAGCAATGCTCTTGCCTCAGCTTCCCAGAGTGCTGGAATTACAAGCATGAGCCACCACACCTGGCTTCAAATAAGCTTTTGCACTTGTTTGGGGGTAGGCTGCTTTGTGAAGCCAAAACTTGACAGGTAGTATTGTCGTGAAGGTGGCGTGGCACAGAATCTGAACTCTGATCAGTAAACTTCTCCTTTGTTCAGTGGTCATCTGCACTGTGAGTGCAGCGTTAACCCACTGCAGAAATGTTTCAGGTACTGCACAGTGCTCACGTGGGAGAGTCGTGCATGTTCTAAGTACTCAGACGACTCATGGGAAAGAGGTGTTTAGAGCTCAGATTTGATAGTAAGACCAACAGAATTTAAAAAGAAAAGTTTTTGTGTATGGAGAAGTTGTCGGTTACACTGCAGCAGGGACACTTTCCAAAACTCGAATTCTCATGTGAGAACTTGGCTTTTATCACTAACAACACCACTATCAACTGTTTTTCTTTATGTGACTAGCTCATTTACCTGTCTGAACAATCACAAGTTCTGAAGCTGCTTTCTCAAGTAAACACGTTTTTCTACTTTGAGGTCAGCTGAGTTATGAGCTCACTCAGCTGTGCCAGTGCTTCCCCTCAAGACAGCCACACTGGTAAGCATCCAAACTGCTGAGGCCAATATGAGAGCCCAGAAAAAGATGTATACTGAGGGTTGAGGTGTAATAAAGTCATTTTTACCGCTTCATCAAGGACAAGTGAACCTACATTTTTCCCTTTCCTTTTTAACTATGAGTGTGTGGTACTGGAGAAAACCAATAAACAGCTCTCTGTGTCTGCTTTGATTCGGGCTGTAAAGCTCAACAATTTTGTACACATTGCCTTTTCACATTCTGAACAAATCTTGACACACAGAAAAAGTGAGTAACATCTTGGTATTGTCATGTAAACCTGGTTAACCTTGAGAGCCTTTAAAGAGCCCCAGGACCCGTCGGACAGAGCATGAGTTCCTGTGGTCTGAGCACGGCTCTAGTAAACCTCTAAGCCTCAGTTTGGACCTGAAGCAACTACTGGGTGACACAGATTTCAGCTCAAAATAAGCAATGGATTCAATTTTTGTTTTTGCTTTTTTACCTAAAGTGGGAATCTCACAATCCTTATTCTCCTTAGTGTTCCTTTTGACATATTTTATCAGCCAGTTGAAAATATGAACATCACAATGAACAGAAATGTCCACCTCTTCCCAGCGCTGGGCATCCATAGATAAATATTCAGCAAAGTACTTCATTTCTGATATTAAAAGATCTCGTGGACAAATAAAATCTTCTTTCAAATTTTTTGCTTCATCACATACGTGGATCACCATGTTTGGCCTTCATGAAAAACGTTACACAGAAAAGAGACGATTAGAGTGCGAAGGGGCAGTGAGACCACCGACGTGTAGGTGGCGGTAAGAGAACAAGGTCCTCTTGCAGGTTTCGACCACAAAAATCTGTTTCATAGGGTCTGACTTCAAAATTTCTCACTTCTTGTTTATCTGATTATACCTTAGATTATGATTAACTTCAGTAAGCTACCCACTTCATAAAGAAATAAAAAATATTGTTTCTAAAGAACTAATACTTTACATGGCTTCAATTTTATTGTTCAAGTTTCAGTTCTCAAAGAACAACTAAATAATAGACTTTGATTCTTGTGTAATGACTAACATCTTTATACTTTTAAAAAAGGAAAACTATCTATCTAAAATGATTCCTTGAACAATCAAATTAAAAACCTGTATGCTTACTTTAGTATCAGCAATGTTTGGCTCCATGCACTCATAAAATATATATTAATGAGAACAGTTACAAGATGGGACCAAACTAGCCCCACAGCATGTGGGGGACAGATGTGAGGCTTGGGTGCTCTGTGGGGCCACTGGCAGTGGGACCAGGATTTATCCCTAGTGCTTGATCTGGCATCTTGGAGCTCATTCTCTATGGAGGGATACCTTGCTCAACCTAGATATGGGGGGAGGGCCTTGATCCTACATCAAACTGATGTTAGACTTTGTTGACTCTCCATGGGGGGCTTACCCTTTCTGGGGGATGGATGGGGGTAGGGAGAACGGTGGGTATGGGGGGAAGGGGGTGAGAGCAGGGATGCTGTGTGGAATATTAAAGTAATAATAAAAAACGATTACTTATAAAAAAGAATTAAAACTATGTGCTTATTTACATAAAATAATTTAGTAAATACATCTGAAAGTTTGCTTCAAAAACTACATACTCCTTGAATTTACCTTCCTTGAAAGTGATGTATTTCGCTAGGTATGGCAGCAGGCGTGTGTAATGGGGCATGAGAATCTGAAGTGGTAGGATTACCATCAGCTGGGGGTTGTCTGTACTGTATAGTAGGTACCAGGCCAACCTGGGCCATAGAGTGAGACCCTGTCTCAAAAATGCAAAAGTCAACTAAAAAAGAAAAAGTAGGAGTAAGGGTATAGCTCAGCTGGTAAATGAGATGGAGCTGAATTCCTAGAACCCATTTTAAAAAGCACAGTGTGTTGGGCAGATCAAAGCAGACAGATCCTTAGGACTTGGCCGCATCCAGCCTAGCCAACCTGGAATGTTCCAGGACAGAGAAAATCTTTTCACTTCCACACATGCACCTTCACATACACGAACAAACGAAAAACCAGAACCCCCAACAGTGTGATGCACTGTCTCATGCCATTACAAAAAGGGAATAAATAGGAAGAAATACAGTGTACTAAAAGTATGAATTACTTTGTGCTTAGTTCAATTTCACAAATTCCAAATACAGAACAAAGTGTTTTATATAAAGTTGGGATATAAGAAGAAGTATTATAATCAATGTTCTATCACAATCAAAAGAGGGCTAACAAGATGGCTCAGTAGGAAGGGTGTTTGTTGCTAAACCTGATGGCCTCGCTTTAATCCTTGGGACCCACGCGGTAGGCGGGAAGCAGGGATTCCTACCAATACCCTTTGCTCACGCGTGCTCACCATGCACACTCTGGCCTGTGGAGAGGGAGAGCTCAAGTTCAAGGCTGCCTGGGAAACCTGGCTGACCCTGACTAGCTCAGCGGCTGAGGGCTTGCTTCCCTGGCATGTGCAGTGCCCTAGGCTCCATCCGCATACAAGGAAAGGGAGAGGAGGGAGAGGAGGAATGTAGATGAGTTCTGTGATATGTGAACTTCATATTAATAAAACTGTTATTATAAATCTACAAAAATTAGAGGTGCAGGAAAGAAATTTTATAGATGAAAAAGATAGTTCCATATTCATTATGTGAGCTAGTGTATTATTTGTCAAAACAAAGTAAACATTTACTATGCATGCACTTTATTGTATAGAAAACACACAGAGCAAAACAAAATATCAAAACCTGAAGCATAGTGAAATACATTCTGATTTCTAAATATTTATAAAGCAACTATATTAGACAGTTCTAAAATGCACATCTAATCTCATTAATAAAGTTAAAGAACTAATTACTTAGAGGTTTTTCTTTGGACATTAAAATTTACTTTCAAAATTATGTTAATAGATGTTATTTCTAACTTTTAAAGATAGGCAAATTAATTTTTAAGAATGAAAAAACCTCCACAACTTATAAATAGCACAAGCAAGCAACATGCTTAGGTATTAAGCTATTTGTTGTTGTTCAGCACAGAGGAATCCGATTCCAATGTCTTAGCAATGAAGTATGTAAAATTCCTACAGTATGCTGACTGATAAACACAACCACCAATCGTATATGTGAACGGCTAACAGTAATATTAATATTAAATCTTATCTAGCAAACAACCGGCCTCCTACCCTTCAGATTCTTCAGTCATTTCTCCAGCATTACGAGTAGTACAATTTTCACTTTCTGAAGAACAATTCCTTGTGGAAGCTATACTATGTCTTCCTTAAATACAGAAACAGACACATACAAAAAAAGGGGGGTGGGTTAGCATTTCTAGCTGAGAATGGCTTTTACTTATGGATGGTAACAAGGTAAACACATGGTTCCCAAGGCCAGCTATGGTATTTGGCATTTGTCAGGTAGCATTTCTCACCTTAACACTCATATCTTAAGGGCAGTACGACTGCTAACGTTCTAGTGAACATTCTCAGAAGATGTGGTATTCCAAACCAAGCCAATTGCTCAAAAGCACAGCTCAGTCTCCTCTTCCCAAAGTGCATTCCTATTTCCATATTCAGACCGCAGCTGAAAGTAAAGTGGCTCCTTCTGAGGACCCCTAAACTGGTGACTTCCAAGTGCAACTCCAGAAAACACCTCCTCAACCCTGCCACTGTGCTACCTGAATTTCTGTCAACTTCAGTAAAAATGGCTGTAAAAAGAGACCACGAAGAGCAAGATGCTCTATTTTTTTAAAGTAGCCTGGATAGTAGCATGTGCTATGATCCCAGAGGTTGGGAGGCAGTGGTAGATGGAGCTCAGTGAGTTCTGGACCAGCCTGGTTCATACAGTAAGTTCTGGGACAGCTAGGGCTACACAGAGAGATTCTGTTTCAAAAACAAACAAATGAAAGAAATTAACTAATTAATAAATATTTTAAAAAGTGCCCAAGCATGATGGTACATGCCTTTATCCCAGCACACGGAAAGATCAGGCGTACAAGGTCATCCTTAGCTACATAACAAGTTTGAGCCAACCTGAGCTACAAGAAAAAGTAAAAGTAAAAAACAAGTCCAAGTGCAGCTGAACTTAAAACTTAACTTTAATTTGTTCTGGGAGAAGAAAATTTTATTATTCTTTAAGTGGGATATCTACAAATAAACTATGAGCACAGGAGAGAAAATGAAATATAAATTTGCTATATTACATCCATGTTAAATTAATTTAAAATAAGGAAACGAAGGCTAGGAATACAGTTCAGCTGGCTGAAGACTTATCTACTGAGATTAATTCCCGGCACTGCATAAACTGGGTGTGGTGATATACTCCATCTCTCAGTACAGTGATACAGTCATCTCTCAGTACAGTGATACAGTCACCTCTCAGTACAGTGATACAGTCATCTCTCAGTACAGAGATACAGTCATCTCAGTACAGTGATACAGTCACCTCTCAGTACAGAGATACAGTCACCTCTCAGTACAGTAATACAGGTCATCTCTCAGTACAGTGATACAGGTCATCTCTCAGTACAGAGATACAGTCATCTCAGTACAGTGATACAGGTCATCTCTCAGTACACTGATACAGTCATCTCAGTACAGTGATACAGTCACCTCTCAGTACAGTGATACAGTCATCTCTCAGTACTTGGGAGATGGGAGGCAGGAAACTCAGAAGTTCAAGGTCTTTCTTAGCTACATACTGAGTTCAAGACCAGCCTGGGTTACATGACACCCTTTTTCAAAAAACAAAATTACAGCAAATAAACAACATGTAAAACACTAGTTTGAGAAACTAGAGTATATAATTTTGATACAATTAACATTTTGTTTTAGAAAAATTACTTCACCTACATATTACAGTTAAGGTTTTTGAAAAACAGCAAAGACAATGAAAATTTTTAACATTCACAAAGATAAAAATACTAACAGATTTTACACAAGTATTTGAATTGTTGACTAAGATTGACTAGACTGTACAAATGTAGATTTTCATAAGGACAAGTGCTATATTGTACTTTACAATCTTACCTGCTTTGGAAACTGTGACTTGATCAACTGGAGTCTCTTGAAAATCTCCTTGTGTTTCCAGAAGTGAAGATTTAATGTAAGTGGCTAAAGACTCCACAGGACCCTCCCCAGCTGCCATTAAGGGGTTATACTGATTGTCGACAGGTGAGCTTCCGCTGCTCTTCAGCTCATCAAACCTTTTTGCACACTGAAAAAATAGAAAATGGTAAAAATGGAGGTTACATTACAAAACTCCCTGTGAATGAAAATGCCAAAATGGTGGTACTTCCTGTGCTAACCAAAAAAGTTAAAAAAAAGCACATAATGGTTTTAAACATGCTTACTACCTTAATACATGATATTATCATTGAGTAATATTATAAGAGTAATCATTAAGTAATCATTAAGATAATCTTCAGCCAATAAAATTTAATAAAATATTGTTGATTGATCTAACTTATAGGGGAGAAGATATATTTATTCATAGTTCTGAATGATCAACTTCAATCATTAAGGTTTTGTATGTGTAAGGCAAAGTAAAAAGATTAATGGGAAAAAGTTATTTTCTTGTCTTCTATTTAAAGACACTTTATTTTAAAATTATCTTAGGAGACAGGATTTCTATGTGTAGTCCTGGCTGTCCTGGAATGTCCTCTTCCGGTGTCCTTGAGCACTATATGAATGTGGTGCACAGATATACATGCAGACAAAACACTTATAAATACAATAAAATAAATATAAAAGGAAATAAAAAGATGTAAATTTTTTCACTTAGATGTTTCTTTAGATCTCACATTTGGGGGTTCAGTGTGCTGTTGTGTTTGCTCATTAGGTGGTATCTAGGGATTGTTACTTACCTCTTTGGGTGTTAGTCCAGGCACAAGCCTTGCCACAGTTTCCCAGTTGATGGTCTGAGGGATTCCAATTAATGGATAAAGGATCATATCTAATACCATTTGGTTATTATTATTCAGGAAATTATTGTTTTCTGGATACCCACGACTCATCTTTTGGAGCTAGAAACAGGGAAAACACAGTCTTATTAACATCTGAAATTCAGATGTTTCTAGAACATTGTAGACTAGTTACAGTCATTCCTAAAAATCACCTGTCATATAAAGAAAAAATAAAACAAACACAGAATATCCATCCAAAATCTCCTCAGACACAAAAGCTTTATGATATTATGACTTGAAAGATGGGTACATGTATGGATGGACAGATGGATGAAAAATACAATAAAAAGAATCTTAATGATAGATTTCCAGTGGCAGGCATTTGGGTGTTTACTACAAAATTCTTTCTGACTCTGTTATATGTTAAATTTTTTCCAAATCAAATGTCCAGGGGAAGTTTTTCTTCTTATAAAAACTCACTAACCATGCCTTGTTTATACACTGACTATCTAGAATTCATTTAATCAAACTGTGAAGAAATTGAAACATGTACCTTGCTAAAAAGAAAAAAAATAGATTATAATTTCATTCTGTTCTTAAATAGCCTCCCTCCTGTTTTTCCCTGAGTGAATGTTCGCGGTGCAAATAATGACGGCTGAACAAACTGAACTTGCATAGACATAATAAGATGAGCCTTGGCCTGGTAACCGAGCAGAGCAGAACTGTAGTAATGACTATTAAGTGGTGCTATTTTTATATGTTTGAAACAACTTCTCTTTGCAAAGTTCTTTGCAGCCCTTTTTTTCTGAAGCAATGTGAAACTGACCTGACTGATGTGGCGATGGATACTGGCAGAAAAATGGATAACGTAAGCATCATGGTGACATTATTCTGGCCAACAGCCAAAATGGAGTTGCACCATGGGGAGGCAGAGAAATTGGAATAGCTATGAAAGAGGAGCTCTCACTAATTTTACAACGTAAGGAAACAGGTTCTAAGGAGCTAAATAAGTTACACAATGCCATCAATCTATTAAGATAGTTCTTTCCATTCTACATAAGAGCATGGGGTGGAGAGGCGGTGAGTCAGAGGTGATGGTTCAGGATGGGAAAGGACAGACTCTAATAGCTTGTGACGCTGCTTGTGTTTTAGAGAAACAACTGTCAAAGCTTTGTCTCCTGAGGTGGGCTGGGGATATTATAAAAAGAAAGAAAAGAAACAGAAACAGAACCACCCTCCAAAGATAAAATGTTTTAAAAGCTCTTTATGTCAGCCAATGTAAGACACTGTTTTATCCAAGCATTTACCAATTCCATCATGTGTCAGGCACTGCAGCCGAAGTTGGAATACAAAATTATAGAAAAACAGAGGTGAGGGTTAATGGCTAGTTATGCTTACAGTTTAACTGTTGTTAGTTTCTAGGTTGAGAATCCACCTGAAACTATAAGCTGCTCTAAGAAAAATACGGCATAACGTAGAGCAAAGATCACTGACAGACAGACGCCACCTAAACTTGCTGAACTGCAGCAGAGGTATTAGACTAAAAGCCTGACAGTGCAGAGAGAACAAAAGGGGTCACTCTGGGAAGGTACTCTGGAGATACCCATGGCACCTCACAGATGAGACATGGCCTACAGAGACAGCATATGCTTCCTAGGACCGCGACATCTCCAAATGTGGCTTACAGAGACAGTATATGTTTCCTAGGACTGAGACATCTCGAGACGTGGCCTACAGAGACAGTGTATGCTTCCTAGGACTGTGACATCTCGAGATGTGGCCTACAGAAACAGTATATGCTTCCTAGGACTGCAGTATTTCAAGTGCGCTGGAGTAGAAGTGTGGAAGCAAGTCAGGAGCAAGAACCACTGCCTTAGGACATAAAATGGCAGCCAAGTAACAATCTATGTGTTTGCATAAGCATTAAAAAGCAACAGGGGCCCGAGAGATGGCTGGCAGTTGCAAGTACTTGCTGTTATTGAGCAAGACCTGAGTTTGGTACCCAGCTCCCAACTGTTTTTTACACCCATTCATTGCTCCAGTTACAGGGGCTATAGCGCCCTCTTCTGGTCTTCATGGGGACTAAGCATGTGTATGATGCACACAGATACATGCAAGCAAACACACATAAATAAAAATGAATAAATCTAAAACACAAAAGAGACCCAAAGCACTCTAAAATCATGGCTTCCAGGGATGTACCTTATAGGAGGGTCTGTACAGCGTAGTAGTCACAAGTATAGATTCTGAAGTGACGCTGTCCAACTGTGTATCCTGGTTCCACCATTAAGATAGCATCTAGTTCAAGTAATTTGGCTTCCAATTTCCTCATCTGCAAAACAAAGGTAAAACAGTAGGTAGCTTCTGGATTTCCAGGCTTTAAGTGGGACCTCTTACAGGTACAGTGTGAGGACTGGATGTTTGTAGCAGAAGAATTAGCATTTCTGAGATCCCTGGATCAAACAGATTCATAAAGATTAACAATGAAGTATGCTGCCGATAAAGGATTAAAGTGGGCTCCTGATACTTACCCAGCTTTACCATTTGCAGCAGTGCATCCTGGGGCTTCAACTGTTTCAGCTATAAGGAAAACAACAACAGCCTTTAGGATTATTGTGAGAATTCAATCATACTATTAAAGCACCCAGCACAGCATCTGGATTCAAATGGGTACCACACTTTATTACAACCACTATTTATTCTTATTCTACTTTGGCCATTGGTGACATAAATTTTTTTCAAGAATTAGCTGAGTCACTTAGAAAGAATTGCCGAGGACAGAATTTCAGTTTTATCTTGCTTTGTAGCTCAGGCTAGCTTCTACCTCTTGATCCTCCTCCTCAACCTCCAGAGCACAGGGATTACAGGTCTGTACTGACACACCCAGCTCATAGGTTGGTCTTTTTATCTTTTGATTCCTTAGAAGGACCAGCAAAGCAGATAGTGCCCAAAATGTTTGCTGAGTTAATAAAGTCACAAAACTTTAAAGAAACAATGTATCTTTTGGAACCCCACTCTGAGTTGAAAGCTGTACTCTATGAGAATATGTAAGTATCTACAATAATATGTGGCAATCTTGATTTTCAGTGAACACTGCTCTCTATTACATGGGTAAATAATACGTGGATCCCTTTCTGAGCACACTGCTCTCTACTTACAGGGGTAATACATGGATCCCTTTTCTGAGCACATGATTTGGAAAGGGGTGTTTATAATTTGTTGGGACCTTAGTAGACATTTAGGATCCAGGAATGTAGATGAGTTCTTGCCTACTATGTGGGGCCCTCAGTTTGATGCCCAGCACTGAAAGAAAGAAAGAAAGAAAGAAAGAAAGAAAGAAAGAAAGAAAGAAAGAAAGAAAGAAAGAAAGAAAACAGACCCCTTGTAAGCTGGGTTTTTTTTTGGTTTTAATTTCCAGGAAAAAAAATCAATTGAATTTTTTTTTTCTATTCTTGGTGGTGGGGATGAGGAGTGTACTCTACCACTGAGCTAAATCTCCAGTCATTAAAATTTCAAAAATGTTGTCTCTATCAAATTCTTAAAATCGTGTATATTTCAAATATTATTCTCATGTATTTGTGCTCATGGATAATTTACATAATTTGGGTGTGATTTTTTTTTCTGTAGACACAACTGAATCTTTCCAAGCAAGGATAAAACTATTGTGTATTCTACTTAAATTAATCTACTAGCAAACTTCCTTTCGGGTCTGAACGTAAGTATGAAAGGTAAAGCATTGACAGATAATTTTTAATAAAGCATATAGTCTCTTGGAACAGCTGGCAAACGCATCTCATTCAGGAACAAGGTATAAAGACACGAAAAACTTTGATCAAAAGAATATCTGAAGCTCAAAATTATCCTCATACATGATAAAATAATATATGTTAAAAGTGTCTAAGGCATAACAAATTACTTACCCTAAATTGAAAATTCTATTGTTTAACACATTACACTTTTAAAGAACATAACTTGTTTCCTTATTTTTGGCTTATTCACTTGCATAAACACGGCTATCTAAGTCGCTTTCTCTGTCCATGATAAGCACCTGTTTTTCATGTTTCAATGAAAAAGGGGTTCTTGATTCTTTTTCTCCCTAGGCAGAGGTGGCAG